AAAAAAAAAGAATGTTTTGAGCTGAAGGCAATTAGCTCTTTGCCCTCCCTTTCTGTCTCAAAGCAGGACATCCATTTCTCTTTATTAAGGTGACATTAATTTCCATTTGTAAATATGTTTTCAGGCCTTCCCAGAAAGAGGAGACTCATCTTCATAACAGACCTTGCTAAACAACCCTTATTTACTACACACTTCCTAGTCACCTTCTCATAACTTACACCCTCCAGAAGCCCCAAACCTCTTTTCCTTTGACTAGTTATTTCTCTACAATTACTTGCTTGGTCTGTTAAAATAGTATATAAGCCCCCAATTCTAAACACCTTCTTGAATTACATTTCTTTGTGAACTCCTATGCATATATACATAATTAAAATCTGGCTTTTTTCTCTTGTTAATCTGCCTTTTGTCAGTTTGATTTGCAGGCCTCCAAGAAAAGAACCTAAGAGGGTGGAGGAAAGTTTTTTCTTCCTCCCCAACATAACCAACAGATTTATCTGTTTTTTTATACAACTGTAATCAGCATGGGAAAATTCTCGGGTGTTCCACTTTTTTGTCACTTGACATTGTCATTCACAAGTGTGTACAAAGTCTTCACATCCATTTTTCATGGTCGCTGATGAGTCACAGAGGTCACGACCACAGGCTGTTCTAATTTTTTAACTCTTAATCTCTCACTGAAACAAAACTTTGCCCAGGGAATCTGATGCAGAAGACTATTCTGCTTGCAGGGCAGAATGTCAGAACAGAGAAAGGTACAGAAATGTCTCTTTCACTATACTTTCCTCATGGAGTTTTTCAAGCAGATGACCCTCCTTCAGGAATGGCCAGTGAAAGAGACCACACATGGGCCAGCAGAGCTCCTGAAGTCTTAGGAAGAGGTTAGTCTTTTATCCCATGTTAGCCTTCAGATACTCATTCCCTGGGGTGGTGGAAAGATTTGAGGGGGCTGGTTAGGTCCCAGAGGAAGAACCGGGTATCTTTTTGTGCAGTGGCCAGGAAAGTAGACCCCCTGGGTTAGTCACACTAACTGCAGCCTAAGTCTCTGAAGAGCAAAACCTGCAGGTGGTGGCTGGGTCTGGTACAGGCTCAGGGTGCCTGGAGCTAGAATCAGAGAGCATGTCTGGGCTCAGCAGTGGGGAGGGCAAGGACAGCCCTTAGTGGGGCTTTTGGATCCCTCTGAAGAACCCTGTACCCAAACCTGCAAGCCTGAGTAGTCACCTAATACTTGGGTACTGGGCCTTCTCCCTAGCTCACTGGGCTGACGTCCCTAGAAGTTAGACTCTGGTTGGGGATGCCGCAACGTTCTGGACCACAGTAGATTCTCAAGAAATGAGCTGAGGGGCGCCTGGGTGGCTCAGTTGGTTAAGCATCTGACTTCAGCTTGGGTCATGATCTCTGGGTCCTGGGATCATGCTTCTCCCTCTCCCTGGGATCTGCTTCTTCCTCTCCCTCTGCCCCTCTTCCTGCTTGTGCTCTCTCTCTCTTAAAAAAAAAAAAAAAAAACAAATGAGCTGAAATGGGAAGTCTGTCACTGAGCCCACTAGGAATCTGGTAGGGAGAAGGCAGAGCAGTGATTGCCCTTTACCTTGCCTTGGAGCAAGGGAGGGAGAGAAGGAATTCTGGAGTAGGGGTGAGAGAAGGGCACAGAGAAGGGTTCTGGTGTCCCCACAGGCAGTGAGGGATCACTAAGTCCTCAGAAAATAGGGGAGAGGAAAGCAGGAAAGGAAAGGAGGTTTTAGAAAAGGAGATAAGGCTTAGGACATCCTTGAAGTGTGGACTAGAGCACTCCCATCCTCTCTCCTCCTGCCTAAAACCAGACATTGCTAACGCCAGAAAAATCTCCAGGAAATTCACAAAATCTACCATCTCCCTCCAGAATCAGGGATGAGAAGGTGGGGGGGGGGCATAATCCCACTCACTGCATCTCTACTCTGCCTGGAAAACCCAGGGCAGGCAGCGAGGCCGGGTCTCCAGTGCAGGGACAAGATCAGCCCTGATCTCCCTGAGGGGTTTGAGGAGTTCCTCCAACAAAGTCATAACAACCTACGGGGACAGAGCTGGTCGTTTAGGAGGTGCTCACCAAATATGTGTCAAATAGTAAATGAGTTATTACCTATTTCCCCAACTCCGTGGCCTCCCCATCTCTCACTGGCCCCAGAAAGGAGATGGGGGGGGTTCCTCTGGTACAAATGTGGAAGGTGGCCTTGATGAGGATTGTCAGACAACCAAGCTCCAAAGAGAGGGATAGAGTGTACATGAAGACTGCCATAGAGCCTCTTCCAGAGACTTCCAGCAGCAGCTCTAGAATTTTGCATGGCAGGGTCTGGAAGGAAGCAATCTGGTTGGCTCCAACTTTTGTTTTGGGTCCCACGTGCTCTGCTGAGGGTCCTACTCAGGAGGGGAGCTCCCAGGCCTCTCCCCATTGTGAGAGCCAACAGGAAAAGTCCCGGGGGGAAGAGCAGCCCACAGTGGTATGTGCAGGAGCCTGGACACGGGGGCTGCAGGAGGCTCCACAGAGCTGACCTGTGTCCATCATGCCCGGCCCTCACCTGCCTCTCGGTCACATGCACCTCTCCCTTCTCCTTGCACCCTGCTGGCCAAACACCTTCAGGATAGTGCCCCATTCATCAAAGTTATTTTCTCCCCATTTCAAAAAGCTCTTCCCTATTTCTTGGTCTTAGCTTTAAAAGTAATCTAGTAAAGCAATATAACATATTATCCAAATTATTATATTCTGCCACCTAAAAGACTTTGCATTTTAAAATAAAGTGCTCTTATGGCTCAATAATTCTAGTTCCAGATTATATATCCGCCATGGACCAGAATACTTGCAATACCCCACACTGGCATCTATTAAAAGCCCATCAACGGAGACTGGATACACTGGATGGCGGCCATGCAGTGGGCAACTACACAGCACCAAGAACGGACAATCTACGACTGTGCACAGTAACACGAATGCATCTCATGGGTCTCGTGAACAATGCTGAGCAAAGGAAGCCGGACACATCTTCCTGTATGATTTCATTTCTATCAAGTTCAGGAACAGGCAAAAGTGGTGCACGGCGTTAGACGTGAGGATGGTGGCTACCTCTGAGGGACAGTGACTGGGAGGGGCCCCAGCAGGGCTGCAGGGGTCCTAGCCACGTGGGGATTCTTCATCTGGGTACAGGTTACACTGACCTGTTCACTGTGAAAATTTAAGGGCAGTCCCTGACCAGTAGGGAGACCAGCTGTCCTCGTTTCCCAGACCAACCCCACTTTAGTCCTGAGAGTCCCGTTTCCTGGGCAGCCCGTCAGGCCTGGGTGAACCGGGAAGGCTGGTCACCCTCCAGGACTGTGGGAAGTGGGCAGCCATGGGGACTTCCTTGGCCCTGGTCACCTCCAAGCCAAACGAAGATCAGATCCCTGCCACAACTCACTCCCAGGTTCGTGGTGAAGATCGAACGAGAGCCCATGTGAAAATCTGTGAGGGACCCAGGGACAGAGCCAGGCCACAGGACAGCTGGGTCTGAACGCAACCAACTGAGTGAGACTGTTTCTCTGGCCAGGTGTTTCCCCTGGGGCCAGAGCTGTGTGTGAGCACCATGCAGCCTGGGGCAGCCCCAGGAGGGATGACTGGGCCCACTGCCCTGCTCTAATTCCTTATTTACCAAGGAAGCCAGGAGGACTGTTCACTGGAGCTTCCACTACCCGACAGCCTCTTTCTCCTGGGGTAGGCCTAGGGGAGGGAGAAATAGGCAAATGTGCTCCTGGCCAGGGCTCTTCTTGTCTCTGCTCTGGGGAAGGTGCTGGTGGGTGGGGGGGTGACCTGGGCAGGGGAGAAGACGACTCTCTGGGGGACAGAGCCTACGACCCAGGTGTAACTGAGGGAGGCTGTCCTGACAGGCCACGGTGAGAATCACACTCCTGAGCAGGTAGGAAAGAAAGAAAACTCCGGGCCCCCGGGGCAGGGGCACCTGGCACTTGAGGAGCAGTCTTGGTCAGCCCACTCTGCACACACACAAAATCACTCCATCTCGTAGCCGTGGCTCTAAACCTGGCTGTGCAGCAGGACCTCCTGGAGCCATTTCTTACCCCGGTCTGAAGACCCCAGGGGCCAAAGAAAGCCTTCTTAGGTCCTCCTCAAGTTTTCTATGAAAACATTACATTTTTCCTTTCGCTTTAACAACAAAATATGTTTTTTTCCAAAATGAATGCATGCGTATCTGCATCTTCAGGAGACCATCCCTTCACTGTGTGTTGCCACATAAGCTCAGCGACTGCCTCAGAGGACAAGGACTGTCTGCAGCCTGGGGTTTCAGAGACTAAATCAGTGAGATGCCACCAAGGTGTGCGTTCTAGAGCCTGCTGCTCCAAGTGCGGTCCTTGGATCAGCACCACTGGCAACCGGGAATCTGTTAGAAACGTGGATTCTTACGTGTCCCAGACTTCCTGAAACGGAATCTGCAATCTAAGGAAAGGCCTAGGTGATTCGTGCATATGACTGCTCACAAAGCTCTGGCCTGCATTCCTGGCCTCCGCTATTCTTCTCCAGCATCATTAACTGAAATGGCTCCATATTGTCCACCTGATTTCCCAATTCCAGTTCCTGTGTGGCTTTCTGTTGTCTGCTGACGGCTCTCTCACCAAAAGTGCTTATAACTGGCCCATATAGTGGGCTCAGGGATGAGGCTGGTAGTTGGGGTCCCCCTGCCATGAGGATGGGGTGCTGTCTTCTGAAGACAATGATGATACCCACAGGAGATGTGCACCTGGGCTCCCTGCCTCCTTCTCCATGGACCCACCTACACACATGAGGGTAAATTATATGGCACCAGCCACATTCCATCCTCCTGACCAAAGACCCCAGCCTGGTCAGCATGAGGGACAGTGAAGGGCCCAGAATGGGGTGTCAGGGTCAGCGCTAGCCACCCCTACAGAGGTGCAACATGACTTCATTGGGAAAACAGGAGTGGGGCAGGCTGGTGGGGGGGGATAGGAGCTGCGGCCCTCCTGACTCTGGGCTGGGCTCTCCAACATAACCCACACTGGCTCCTTCAATGGCAGGGCAGCCTGGGGACCCTCCTGTGGAGCTCTCTGCCCCTCCCTCATGTGCCCCGAGACTCACAGGATGTAGCAGATGACTCCAATACTCCACATGTCCGTGGCATAGCCAATGGGCTCATAGTTGATCACTTCCGGTGCCACAAACTCTGGGGTGCCAAAGAGGACCTTCAGAGACCCCGCATTCTCTGTAACAGGGATGGAGAGGGGTCAATCACCAGAACATTCGGGAGCTAACCTGCGGTAAGTGAATGCCGTCTGTGTGCACGGGAGGGACACAGAGGAGGCCTGGCCCTTGGCTGCGCTCCCCTTGAGAATGGCACAGACACCCGGCCTCCCTGAGAACAGGTGCATCAGCGCACCAGTGAAACTGACAGACTGAGGGCTCACTGTCAATGTCTGGGGCGGGGTGGGGCGGGGAGAGGAGGCCATTGAAGCCCCTGCACCCCAGATGGGTTTTCATGTGTCTGTCTCTCCCATGCGTTCCCAGAAGAAGGGGCAGTAACTTGCGCTTGGCAATAATGTCTAACATTCACTATGTCCTCTGTACCCTGCTGCCTGTTTTGTAAGGACTTTGCTATTTAATATTCTCGACAACCGTGAGGGAGGTATGATCCTCATGTTCCTGAGGAAGAAAGGGAGGCCCAGGGCAGTTGCGTGATTTACCCACCTTTGACAGTGGGGGTCAGGACCTAAACCCAGGCGGTCCCACTCCTGAGCTATATCCCTTTGCCCCCACCTGTCTCTCCTCCCAGGAGCTGCTGGGAGTATAGCCAGGAAAGACCTTAACCCCACGCTGCTGTCACTGAGCCTTAAGGGACCAGAGATGCCCAGTAGGATGTCCATGGTACCAGCTCCTGGAGGATCTCGTCCACAGTGGGAGGTGGCCTACCTTTGGCCTGTGGGCCACACCTGCTCTTGTGTCACTACGGAACCCGCAGCAAATGCTCTAAGACAGACTACTGAAGAGCCTTCAGATGTGAGAGTTCTGCTCTACTCTCACCTGAGCCCTTCCTGCTACACACAAGCCCTTCCCAGCTCTCGGGGCTGTGGGAGACACCACCGTCCCCGCGCTCTCTCACCGTGGGAGCCTGCACCTTGTGTCCCTGGGGCTCTGATGCTGCCAGCTCCCGAGGCCAGTGGGGCCCTATCTGTTCAAACGATGAGTGGTCCCTGCCTGAGGGCAGGCCCTGTCCACCAGCTGCCGCCCCCACACCACGTCTGCAGCGGGTGGAACAGAGCAGGCTCCTGCGCCCGGCCTCGGGGCACCGCGTCCTGGCAAGTCAGACCCCAGCAGAACTTCGCTCCCTCAGTGTCCTCTTCGTAACGGCGTGCCCTGGCACCAAGTGCCCCCGGGGTGGTAAAAGTCCAGTTTGCACCAGCCCGCGGTTCCTTGTTGACAGGGCAGTGGTCAGGGGGTAGAGGGTGAGGCTGTTTCATCAGCTACTGAGCCATCGAAGAGCGACGCAGGCAGGCGTCATGTGGGCAGGGCAGGAGGCAGACGGTCTCAGACCAAGACGGCTGCAGGCCTGGGCATGAAGTCCCCTACCACCTGTCCCCATTCCCCGCCCCCCACACAGTGCAGGAATAGCAGAGGGGCTTCAGAGAACCCTGAGCTAGGTCCCCGGTCCTTGTTCTGGCCCCAGCACCTCTCCTGACTCGTGGTGGGACCTGCTGGGCAAAGCTACAGTTTGCCGGTCTATAAACCAGGGCTCCAAAAGTCTGCCCCGCCGCCCTCACAGGGCTGCTCCAAGAGCCCAGTGAAAGTCTGTGAAAGTGCTCCGGAAACTGTTGCCTAGGATGCTAAAGGGAGCAAGCACCATCACCAAAATGAGTTGTAGCTGCAGGTCCCAGAGTGAAAACCACAAGAGGGGATCCTGACAGCTGCAATAATAAACTGTGAACACCTGCAGAGCGCCTACTATGTGCCAGGCACTGCTTGCATCACCTAATCTGTATTAACGCACCCGACTCCCCCCCCCCCCTCCAAAGCTCGATGACGTGGGGACTACTATTATCCCATTTCACAGATAAGGGATAGTGACTCGAAGTCAAGTCTAGTGGGTGGCTGGGGCAGGATGTGAGCCTCAGCAGCCCCCACGGTCTCTGACTTTAACTCCATCCCAGTGCATTCCCTCCAATGCCCAATGTGTGTAACACAAACAGCCACTGTCACCGTATGTGAGTGAGCGCAGGACAGGCCGGTGGCCTTACCCAGCTTTCTGGCCAGACCAAAGTCGATGAGCTTGATTCTGGTGCCGGTCTTATTGACACACATGATGTTCTCGGGCTTGAGGTCCAGGTGGACGATGCCCTGCTTGTGGATGTACTCCACCCCCTCCGATATCTGCCTCATGTACTGGATGCACTCCCGCTCTGTCAGCTCGAAGTCCTCGTCAATGATGCGCTCGAACAGCTCACCCCCCGACACGCTGAGGGAGCAGAAGGGACAGTCAGAACTCAGGACCACGGGGCCCAGGCTGGCAGGGGGTCTGGCCAAGGGCAGGCTAGGGAAGGGGCAGGGGGGCACGGGGAAGGAGCAGCGGGGATGGGCAGGAAGGCCCAGGGTAGGAGGCGCCGGGCACTTCTGCGGCTTCCTCAGTTCCCAGCCCCTGCCCTGTTATGCTGGTCCCAGTTTCCGCTGTGCCAGGAAGGCCTCCCAGTTTCCCGCTGGGGGGGACCCTGTTTGTGCCCACTAAGATGTTGGGGAACTCAGGGAAGCATTTGGGCTGGGTAGTTTCAGAGATGATCATGAGCTGAGAGATTCAGACATAATCTCCTCAGCAAAAAGGGTAACCACCAGGCAGCCTCCCTCCCCGAATGACCACAGACATGGAAGGGCTCGTTCTTGTACCCAGCTGCATCTTTTGGTCATAGGGAATTGAAGTTTGAAATACTCACAGCACCCATAGTATTTGTTTCACATAGCCAGAAACAGAAAAATATCTTCAATAATAAGGAGACTCAGCACATTTTCTAAAATTCATCAACTGTAACCCATTCCCCATGCCTCCTCTGGCCAGGCCCTATGGTATCGGTTACTCCTTCCAGCCATAACTAACTCATCATGCCTGCTCCCTCGCCCAGGCTGGAAGTGTAGTACATCCTCCTGCCTGGATAGACTTTGGATCCTGACCATGGAGTTTCTGGGGCCCCCAGCGGGCATCTTCTTCTAAGGACTGGCCCACAGGCTACAGCCAGCCAGCATATTGCCTTTCAGTGCAAATGCATGGCCTTGTCCCCTGAGTGACATGGGTCCTTTCTGTGCCCCGTCCCAGCCCTCTGACCCACCTTCCTTCCTTGCTGCTCAGAAAGTTTAAAGCATCTCCCTGGTGACTTTTATAGCATCCAGACATCAGTAAGCTCTTTTCTGCAATGGCCTGTATGTCCACCAGCTGAACGAGGCCGGGTAGGCTTTGTTCTGGGCCCATCGTCTTCCAAGGGCCTTCCCTCTTCTTTTTCGGGGGTTGGGGGAGAGGAGGCATCTCTTCTCTGATGGGAGCCATCATGAAGAAGGGAAAAAGCTGAGCATGGATCCTGTCCCTGCCTTTTACAAGCTGTGTGACCTTAGGTAAGTCACTTAACCTTTCTGAGCCCCGCTTTCCTTATCTGTCCTTACCTCATAGAGTTGTTAGGAGTGAAGGAACTTTTGTAAAGCATCGTGCCTGACACGCAGTAGGTGCTCAGCACATATTAATTACCATTTCACAACCTGTGGTGAGTCAGGTGGATCTTGTCAGTGACCCTGAGGGAGGGACAGACAGGGGCGCAGCATGGGGCCCAGCACAGCACAGCCTGTGTGGGCCTCCATCACCAACACTGTCCAGGAGGGCCGAGCTGGGAAAGGTCAGTCTGTGCCAGTGGCCGCTGGGGGCGCTAGAACGGACGCTCTAAGCACCAACAGAGCAGGAGGTCCCCAGGCGGCCAGCAGGTGGCGCCTCCGTCCTCAAGCCCTCCATTTCTATTGCTCTGCTCCAAGTCAAACTTGAATCTCCATTCTCAGGTCTCCCTCGATCCTTAACAATCTCTGTGCCTCAGTGTCCTCATCTGGAAGGTGCAGATAAAAAGAGCACCACCTCACAGGGTTGATGTGAAGACTGAGTGACTTAATATAGGTAAAGTGCTTAGAAGAGTGCCTGACACATAGTAAGTGCTCAATAATGTTAATTACTTTTTTTTTTTTTAAAGAGCCAGTTGGGGCTCTTACTGAAAGTACAGACTCTCAAGCTCTTCCCCCTTGCAGATTCTGATTTAGAAACTCTTGGGAGGGCTCTGAGAATCCATATGTTCAATAAGCACCCCAGGTCATTCTTAGGATTGGGACAAGCTTGGGAAATTCACTGAGAAATTCCTCTGAGAAATCACTACTGATTTCCCCAGAAGAAAGGCTCTTTCCATCCCTGGGTTTCCACAGTCTTGTCTGTCCTTTTTGTATCAGATCTGCCTTGGCTTAAAGTTGTTTATGAACATATGCGGAAAAGGTCTGGCTCATCTCTTTATTTATACCTGGCAATATCTGGCACTGACGAGGTGCCCCAAAATGTGTGCTTTTAAATGTAAAATATTCTGGAAAAGCAAGCAACCATTATTTGTGGTGCTCTTGGGAATGTCTGAGGCAATGAGCAGTAGAAATCTGAGCCATGGAAGTAATTACTACTGCCTTTCTAGAGGTAACCTATTCATTATAAGTTTAAACAGGCTCAATCTATTCAAATATATTTAATGTATTTTGAAAGCTGTTCCTATGGTCCATTTCCTAGGATGGAAGGGGTTACATAAACAGGATTAATGCTTCTACCCAGTTTCTCTTCAAAATACTCAAGACTATGGATGGAAAGAAGCTGCCACCCACAGAGATGGGCCAAGGGACAAGACTGGGCCAGAGGAAATGTATGCTTAATAAATGAACAGTGAGGAGCGCCTGGGTGGCTCAGTTGTTAAGCGGCTGCTTTCGGCTCAGGTCATGATCCCAGGGTCCTGGGATCGAGCCCCGGATTGGGCTCCCTGCTCAGCGGGAAGCCTGCTTCTCCCTCTCCCAATCTCCGTGCTTATGTTCCCTCTCTCGCTGTGTATCTCTCTGTCAAATAAATAAATAAATAAATAAAATCTTTAAAAAAATAAACAAACAAATAAATAAACAAACAGTGAGTAGGTGAGTGAGTGAGTGAATCCCGACTAACAAGGCTACCTAATCCCAAGAGATCAAATTCACCCTCCCCCCGCCCCCCACCAAGTGTAGACCTTGGCCAGCCCTCACTGAAAGCCAGAAGATATGGTGTTTCAGAGAACTCCATACCCAGACCCTCTACTTCTTGTCTCCTGGCAGCCAGCTGGATATTCTTTGATCAATTTTGCCAACGGCAGCACAAAAGGGAGATGCGCAGTGGATGATCCAGCCTAAATCATACTGCTTCAGTGCTGAGGGTCCCACCACCACCTGGAAGGGCCTGAGCGCTCCCAAAGGACAAGCCGAGATTTCAGGCCAGGGGCCCGAGGGAAACCGTGTCTGGGCAACAATGCTAGATGGGGGCTTGTGGCTTGTCCCATCATCAGAGGTCAGAAAGGCTGAAGACACACACTGCTTCTGATTTCTCACCGTGTCGGAGGTGGCTGAACTGAAGGAGGAGACCCTGGAAGACGTTTTCATTTTTCTACATCACCAGGCCCCGCCCTTCTCTGAATCTCAGTACCTCCCTCAAACAAGGGCAATGGCAAATTGTACCGCTGAACACCAGCCTTTGCCCTCGCGAGGCCAAGTTTGTCTAAGCTGGAAGGGCAGTACAGATGGAGTGTGAATGGGCTCCTACTTCTTTGGTTGAGCTCCTATCAAGGGGCAAGCGCCTTACCCCAAGTGCAGCAGACTCGGCTGGCATCTGTGCCTGTCAGACTTGCTCCTGCCCACGGGGGAGGCGTGGGGAGGAGGGACGAAAGCCAGGCCAGCTGAAGCCTTCTTACGTTTTCTCTCAACGTTTTTCCATCCAGCTTGCCAACTCCCAATTCCACGCTAAGTATGGTGTTCTGCCCACTGGTGCGGCTGCCCGGCCTTACCCAGGCTTGGCTGCCTCCTACCCCCTCCCTGAACCTTCTCCCAAACTTGCCCAATGCTTAACTTCTAAACATAAGACATTTCTTCACATGTCCCCACACGCCCACACTGCCTGGACCAAGCAACCTGTTCTAGAATAAATGCGAAGCACCGAGCCCACAGGGCTATGGTGAGGGAGTGATCAGTGAGGCCACAGACACGGGTTGCTCTTTCCGGCAAGTGGGGAGGTAAGCTCAAATTGGGGCCGGAAACAGATTCTAAGATATGAATGCAGATATTCTTTGAAGAGTTTACAGCTCCATAGAATTGCTGAATTTTAGAACCAAAAGGGAGTCTAATCCAAGTATGTCTCCTCGCTGGAAGGATTTAATAATTACAAAATCACAGCTCAGTGGTAACAGGACCTGACTCCAGGTTTCCTGAATAGGAGGGTTTTTGTTCGACAACACCTGGTTGTGTGTTAAAATGCTTGCCGAATAATTTTAAGTGGGAACAAGACCACGACACAGAAAATGTCAATGTATCATACGACTAAGAATAAGTCCCAATTATAGAGCACTATGCCTGACTACGTGATTCCATTTAATCCCCACATTATTCATGAGGCAGCTTATATCCTCCTTTTACCGATAATAACACTAAGGATTGGCAAAGCTGAGTTACTTATTCAAGGCCACACAACAAGTAAGAGGCAGAGCTGGGATTGACGTGAGATTTATCAGACTCACTTTGTACTCTAAGTCTGTGCTTTTAACCCACGCTAGCTTTTCCAGATGTACATAAGCTGGAAGGAAACACACCAAAGCGATCACTGAGCCAGGGGAGAAAATCACACCTCAAGCCTGGGGAGGCCTCACCTTCCCTGGGAAGGAAGGTGTTGAGAGAATCCTCTCCAAAGGACTAAGATCCCTGAAGCTCAGGACAAGCAAAGCAAGGCTGCTGAAGGCAGTTTCACATGATATCTAAAAATTTCAAATGCACATACCATACCCTTTGATCTAGCATGACCACACTTCTGGGAATGTATCCTACAGATGTGCACAGGCGTGCATGAAAAGATGTATGTACAAGGTTACAAACACTGCTTGTTTGGAAAAGCAAAGGCCTGGAAACCTGGCAACCTCCTATCAAAAGAAGACTGCTCCAGGAAACTGTGGTTTATGCATGCAAGCAAATCCCACGGAGCAGGGCAAATGAGGAAGCTCACCAGCCACTGAAATGTTCAGAGCCCCTCATACGAAGATGAACTGCTGAATGAAAAGAAGCAAAAATATAGAACGGTGGATATGAGGTACCTTGGTGCTAAAAGGTGGGAAATATTTTTTTTTAAATCACATATGCTTGTATTTTCATAACGAAACTTTGGAAGGATACAAACAAAACCTTTAAAAACGGTTACTGGTGTTAGTGGTGGAGGTAGAAAAAGGGTAGATGAGGGACAGGGCTCGGAATGGAACTGTTTATTGTGCATGTTCTTACATTTTTTGATGTGATTGTTTCCCACTGACCACAAATTCTGATGAAAAAAAGGAAAGAAAACTGAAAAACACAGACCCCTCTGCAGAGGGCATCTGGTTTACTGAGGGGCTGTATGCGCATGTGTATTTGCATGGGTTTATGTGTGTGTGTGTGCAGGTGTGCACCTGTGCATGCGTGCGTGTGTGTGTGTGTGTCCACATGCATGTGCATGTGTGCCAGTGGCTTGGGGTTGAGGCAAGTGGAGGAAACGGTGGATTCCAGGAAAGCCTTGGCTGGAGGTCCTCCGATCCAGGCCCCTGTGCATGGACAAGCCAGCCCAGAAAGCACAACCCTCTGGTGAGAAGTCAAAGTACAAACAAGCACGGGATGGGGGTCTGCAGAGCCCAGCCCGAGACAGGAGGAAGGGTTACACCTGCATATCCCAAGCCCCCAGTCCTGGGCCCTTCTTCTTTTGAAGGCCATTCAGGAAGTTGCTCTGTCCCTCCCTTTCTCCTCCAAAGCCACCTCTAAGTCAATGCCTTTGAACGCAGCCGAGGAGCCTAGTGGGAACCTTGACACTTTCACAGGGAGGTGGGGGTGGAAAGGGGGCAGGGGTCCTCAGAGATCTGCCAATCTGCTATGGAAATGAGCAAGGAGCTGCAGTGGGCTGGTGGTCAGTGGGTGAAGGCCACTCCTGTGTACAGATGTGCCATTCTGAGGGGACACCCCCCAGCCACCAGGGCTGGGGAGGCTCTTACATGCTGCAGCCTGACCTCCAGTGCTCCCCATCCTGGGGCAGAAGGGGCTTGGGTGTAGACAGTGGGGGCGACATGCGAGGGGCTCCCGGGCCCATAGCAAACCACTCACATCTCCAGGACCATGACAATGTTGGCCTTTTCTTCGAAGGCATCCACACACTGGACCAGCTTGGGGTGGTGGAGGCAGTTCATGATGCTGATCTCCTGCCGGATATTCTCTTTCTCTTTTGCGGAATATGCCTTGAAGAATTTCCCTGCCCAGATTTTTCTAGTTTTCTTTTCTACGAGTCGAAAGACCTGTCCAAATTTCCCACTGCGAATGAAAGGAGGAGGAGAGAAAAGGCAGATTCAGCCGAGCTTTCCATTAAATTGGGGCTGACAAGCGATGGCCTACGGGAGAAATCTAGCCCACCTCTTTTTGTAAATAAAATGTTATTGGAACACAGCCATGCCCATGTGTGTGCATTTCACCCATGGCTGCTTTTGTACTTCGCCGAAACCTCAATTTTCCATCATCCGGCCCTTTATAGAGAAGTTGGCCAGCCCCGCTCTCGATCATGAGGTACACCTCTAAGCCAGACAACCTTACTCTCCCTCACCTGGCAACCTCGGCCCGTGCCCGACCCGCATCCCTGCCCAATCACTGCTCAGGCTCACTACTCTGTCTGGGCTGTCATTTCCTTGGGCTGAGGCCTCTCTCTTGGCTGATGGACTTCTCTCTCCTTTGACAAAGACAGACCCATGACGTTGGGTGGAGGAAGTCCTCCCCGACTACAGAGAATTTCTGAGTGGCTGCCTTCCTTCTGTTCCAGTGTCCAGCATGTCTCCCTCCTGGAGACATCCCAGGAGGGCCCTGCTGTCCACGGCGGGAGAGGGGAGTGCGGTGGTGTTCCTCTGACCCAGCTCCTATGGGCAGTGCAGGCTCCCTGTACTCAACTCTGATGAGGTTGGTGTCACCCCTTTATTTCCCAGAAACCTAACTGGAGATCAAACCTGAGCCCCGTCCCCTTGGCCTCCACTGTGTGCTCCTCCAGGGATAGTTAGGGGGAGACAGACAGCCCTGGGGGCTGCTGCTGGAGGGGACGCTGCGTCCAACGAGGGCTCAGGGTTGGGGTGCCCGCCCTCCAGAGGAGAGCCAGAGCAAACAGTGCGGACCAGGTGCATAAAGTGAGCAGTGGTGAGCAGCTGTGCTTTTCAAGGCTGTGGGCTTTACGGATGCATGAAAACTACAACTGCTGAACAGTGAGACGGCTCAGGCTTGACTGACTCCTGCCGGTGACCGGGACCCCGGTGCCTCGTTTGCTCGTGCATGCGGGGGAAGGCACAGGAAAGGAGGGGCTTGCTCAAGACTCTCGTGGAGCTGAGCCAGCGCTGCACCAGCAGCAACTAAGAGGGCCCTGGGTGGGGATGCCCTCATGGGGTGCTGACTGGGTCTGCACCTCCTCTTCCTGCTAGGGGTCTCAGCATGGGAAGCTGGCAAAACTCAGCAAAAGATGGGGGGACAGGGCGCAGAATCTAATGATGGGATCTGTGCCACCCCAACCCTGGGGGCCCAAAAGATGCTCCCCGTTCCACTTACGAGCCTAGTCTCTCTTCGATGTCATAGAAGTCAGACACTTTTTGTTCAGTGTTGACGGTCACGTTCCGGTAGTCGATCTCAGGTTCCTTCTCATCTGCAGGGTGGGGGTGGGATGAGTGTGAGCCATCAGATTCCTCTCTCACCCCCCTCCACCCCTCAAGTCTACCTGAGGACAGGTGGCCAGCACTCACCATCATCTGACACCTCCACTTCGTCCTTTGGCTCTGGCGGGGAGACAGGGAGGGATGCAGAGGACACAGTGATTAGTAGCGAAAGCCCATCGGGAACAAAACATGCTGGGGCCTTCGTGAGACCTCAGCCTTCCCAGGCCCGAGACCACAAAGCCCAGAGTGCTGGGAATGGCCAGGCGGTGGGTCAGTCCACACTGCCGCAGGGCCATGGACACACCAGCAGGCCCTGACCTCCTCACCCTACCCAGCAGCTTCTGCACCAGCTCTCACCTCCATCCCTTCCTCTGTAACCTCATGACCCCCTAGACATACCCTTCTTTACAGCGCTCCCAGGCTCTCTGACTTTCAGAACCTACACAAAACTGTGACAGCCCCTTTCTGCTCCGACTCAAAAGTCAGCAACTTAAATTGCTCCTAGCATCAAACCTATTTATCCATTTGATTAGATAGTGGTACATGGAGTTCCAGACATGTACCAGGTATCTTGCAAGTTATCAAGGTTATATCACCAAGTACACAGAAAGCAGGATCTCTCCTTTCTTGGAGCTTATAGTTAGTTGGGGAGGCAGAACTCTGTATACTTGAAATCCCCATTACCAGTGTTCTATAATCAAGCACATGACATCGCAGCACAGACTGAATATACAAGGCAGGATGTTGATACAAAATAGGGCAACTATAAGTCAGAGCAATTATTCTGGGAAGAAGTAGCCCTTGAATTGTGTCTTAAAGGAAATACCGGAACACAACGGGGAGGTGGAGGTGGGTGAACCACACAGTGAAACCAGCAGGTGTTTAAGAGGTATGACAAGAAGGGACATGAGCAGCCCATGTTGGCTGCTCACATGGATGTGTCTGAAGTGAATGGGGGGAGGCATGAGCGGACAGTCAGGTGTCCATCCGAACACACCCACGTCAGAGCTCCAGGCTTTCCTTTGCCTAAGCATAGCTTTGTCCCGATGGAGCCACTATGGCTTCTTGACCTTGGCTGAGTGCCTTTCCCTTTCTGGGTCCCAGTTTCCTCATCGGTAGGAGGGAGTTGTATTTTTAGGTGATTTCTAGTGTCCTTGGCTAGCTCTAGATGCCATGCTTTGTGATGTGCTTTGTGCTCCTTAGTCATGATGTGGGCTATGTTTCACAGACAGATGGAGTCAAGGCAGGTTTCCTGAGGAGACAGAACAAAGATCTGAGGAAAGTCAGTGAGGGAGGACAGAGATTTTACAAGAGCGCGCGCGCGCGCGCACGCGTGCGCACGCATGTGAATAAGACTTCGGGGAAAGGGTGTGATAAGGGACAGCACTCATACCTATGCATAAGTCTCCCAGGAGCAAGAGAGGCTATGATTTGTTTAAAGTCCTTTTTTTTTTTTTTCGTTATTTTTTTTTTTTTTTGAAGATTTTACTTATTTGAGAGAGAGAGAGAGCATGATCAGGGTGGAGCGGCAGAGGGAGAGGGAGAAGCAGACTCTGTGCCGAGCGGGGAGCCTGACTCGGGGCTCCATCCCAGGACCCCGAGATCATGACCTGAGCTGAATGGATGGAGCCACCCAGGCACCCCTTGTTTAGAGTCCTTAAAATGCTGTTGAGGAAATGAAAAACTAAACATAAGTGGGACGGGGAAGAATATTCTGTCAAAAGAAGGCAAATGCCCCGGAACAATAAAAAGGGTAAAAGAGATGGGAACTCTCAGATTTTTTTTTTAAGATTTTTTTTTTAAAGATTTTATTTATTTATTTGAGAGAGAGAGAATGAGAGATAGAGAGCATGAAAGGGAAGAGGGTCAGAGGGAGAAGCAGACTCCCTGCTGGGCAGGGAGCCCGATGTGGGAATCGATCCCGGAACTCCAGGATCATGACCTGAGCCGAAGGCAGTCGCTTAACCAACTGAGCCACCCAGGCACCCAAGATTTTATTTATTTATTTGCTAGAGAGAGAGAAGTGAGAGTACAAGCAGGGGGAGTGGCAGGCAGAGGGAGAAGCAGGCTCCCCGCCGAGCAAGGAACCCGATGTGGGACTCAATCCCAGGACCCTGGGATCATGACCTGAGCCAAAGGCAGACGCTTAACCAACTGAGCCACCCAGGCGTCCCGGGAACTCCCAGATTAATGGTGAGGGTTTCACAGATAGCACCAGGACAGAAGCCTAACTGATCAAGTCTTCTAAATCACACACTTGAGAGTGGAGAACCCAGTTCCTCAGCCTACTGCTCTGGCCAACAGAATGCTGTCATGGGGGGCGGCGGGGAGGGGGGGAATGTGCACTGGCCACAAACAGGTATGATTACTCTGCCCTCAGCAGAGCCTGGGGTGTCTGCTGCTGAACTAGGGCTGTAGACACTTAAAAAGTCACAGCAGAGCTGGTGGGAGTATGGAAAGCCACTGAAAGAAGAGCTGCCATGTGAAGATGAGCAGACATGTTTAGGCCTTTCTGGTTGGGGAAAAAAGTCTAAAGCAGAGATGTTTTGTTTTGTTTTGTTTTGTTTTGTGGGGGGAGAGGGAGAGAATCTTAAGCAAGCTCCACTTTCAGCGCAGAGCCCAATGCGGGGCTCGATCCCAGGACCCTGAGATCATGACGTGAGCCAAAATCAAGAGCCAGACGCCCAACCGAATGAGACATCCAGGTCTCAGATATGGTTTTTTAACAACTGCCATGGCCAAGCGTAAGATTAAGGTTACAGACTTTTATCAACTAATCAACGCTGTAACTTGAGAGAACAATCTCGTGTGGTGCCTCACACAGGAGGAAGGCTGTAGGCATACGGAACTCACATCCCCAGACGCACCATGAAAACGATATACAGGGGTCAGCAGGGGTTTAGGACAGTCTGACAATGGCACTTCAGACGGGGCTTTAAGGGAAGCAAGGGGTTCAAGTCTGTCATGAAGGATGCTGTCACTGGCTGGGCCCCGGAGACCAAATGCTAACAATCATAGCAACGTTTACTGTTGGGGAGGCCCAGCATCCTGGCCCATGGTGGCCCCATATGGGTGAGTGTTCACCCAATGAGGCGTCCCTTTTTTTCTGTTCCCATGCCACTCATCCTGGTGTGGAGTGAGCAGCGGGCCGAGAGAGAAAAGAGAAGGCAGGCTGTCTGGGCCTGACATCTCCAGGAGGAACTGTCTGTACTTCCCTAGTGAGGGGGCACCAGCCATGGGGCTTTCCAATGGCCTGGCGCCCCAGGGGCATCATGCAGGCAGCCCTGTAGGGGGCATGCAGTTCTAGAACTGGCCTCTCCCACTTACTTGCACACCAGTTAGAAGTTACAGAGCTGGCCTTCTGGCTCTCACTGCCAACACCACATCCGCCCTTCACCTCTGCCTTTCTCCCTTGGCAATTAAGGTGCAGAAGGCTCTCCTGATGCTATGGTTATGGGGACCTAGATCATTCTCAGGGAAGTCACGCCCCTCTTTCTGACTCACTGTTCCACCACAACTTTTCCTGTTTGAAATAGACCAAGACTCCAGGCTGAGAGGTTTCCTTCTTCCTTTTCCTTCTCATTCTGCCTCCATTCTGCTTGGAGGGAGATGTGGCCACAAGGAGAGGAGCAGGGTAGGAGTTGGGGAAAGGCCACAGTTCGACGAGCCAAGCCTTCAAGAATAAAGGGCTGGGGTGCCTGGGTGGCTCAGTCGTTAAGCGTCTGCCTTCGGCTCAGGTCATGATACCAGCGTCCTGGGATCGAGCCCCGCATCGGGCTCCCTGCTCAGCGGGAAGCCTGCTTCTCCCTCTCTCACTCCCCCTGCTTGTGTTCCCTCTCTTGCTGTGTCTCTCTCTGTCAAATAAATAAATAAAATCTTAAAAAAATAAAAGAATAAAGGGCTTAGTAATGGGAGGGGTGACCAGTTGGTTTCTATCTTTCCACCACAGAAGGAGCTGAACTACAGCAGAAGGGACTTCAACAAGAGGTTTCAAAAACCTTCTATTCAGAAAGAGCCAGGACTTCCACAAGCTAAGCCCAAGAACTATTTGGAAGATGGTTCTGAGCTATTTCTGCAAATAGGTAAGTCTCATTCCCCTGACACAGTGTTTGGGACAGGATCAGATGAGCCCTTGGGACCCTCACAGGGCATGCCTTAGGCAACCCCCTGGACAGAGCTCTCCACGGCCAAGGGCTGATGCACGCCCAGTGGGCACTAGGGGGCACCCCAGCCCCAGAGAGGCCTCTGTAGCCCTGGGCAGGTTGAGCAGTCCAGGGAGGCTGATTTCTATAGAGCCCTCAGGGGCTCTGCAGCTCTAACTGCCCTCAGCCTTGCAAGGAAGGCTTAAACCTGCAAGAAGCCTTTCTCCCAGCTGTTTTGCTAACAACTATATATTCTAGAACAAATTAGGATTAGGAGCAAGGATGGAATGAAGTCAGAGCAGGGGTAGGGTGGGGCAGAGATGAAGGACTGGCTGGGATGGGAGAGATGGGTGTACCGGGGCAGTGGCTCTGTTTACCCAGGTTTGGGGAGACAGGGAGGGGAGCTAGCTGGGTTAGGGATTCTAGTGTGAGGGGTGGCTATGGCATAAGGAGGCCACTGATGTGGGGGGAGGGGGAGGACACACCGTGCTTTGTCCGGTACCACCCGGAACGGTGCCAGAACACAGGAAGGGTGCCAGGTACATTGGGGGAGTGAATGTAGGGTAAGGGACGGGGTGCTTCGCAGGGATAGAATGCGGAGGTCAGGATGAAGTGGAATACCCAAGCTGCTAAGGCACGGGCAGGAGGGGTACTGGTGGCAGTGGGGAAGGTGAGAGCCGACATTAGCTGGGCTTAGTGGAGGGAGGGTTCATTGGCACTGCCGTTTTGATGACAACCATAGACCACTGGCTCCACAGAGAGGAGCCACCGTAGCCCCCTCTCTCATCCCTCCTCTACATGCACACGCATGCGTGCACACACGCGTGCATCCACACCCCTCTTCTCTGCGAGCCATTTTCCTTTTAAAGTAGAGACAGATGCCCTCCCCAGGTTATACCTAACAAGCATGTGACCAGTCCACAGGGGGCTTCACCTGGAAGCCCCACCTCCCTCTGCCCCACCCTCTCACCCCCTCCACCCTCTGCCCCTCAGGCCTAATGCTCCACAACTCTTCTGTCCTCCCCTCCTCCCCGGTAATCCAGCCGGGCCTGGAGATGGGAGCAGCTTCCAGTCTGGAAGCCCTTGGTGGCCTGGACCCCTCCTCGGGCTGGCAGGCTATTTTTGCATTTCGTTTCGTTTGCTCCCAGCCAGGAGGAGCCCTAGGAGGAGAGTCTGAGGACCACCACAGGGGTTTGGCTTGGCTGCAGGGAGGAAGGGAAAGGCCACCTGCCCAGAGCCCGGTGGCCCTAGTCCCTGGTCCCCACAGACTCTCCCTCCAGCCCTGGGAGCTGCTGTCCTGGCCTCCTGGGAGCCACACCTTGCCACTCCTGTGGCCTCCAGTCCTCGGCATGGGGTTTATCAGGGCCTCTACAGTTTCTCCGGGTTTCTTCCACAGAGGACCTGGAAGCTTTCCTTTCCAGCTAAGGAACATCTTCTCACTGCCATGTTAGCTCTTTCCTTCTCACTTTTCAAGAGGTGGGGAGCTAAAAACATAAAACTGAGCGCCTGTCCTGGCGCTAACATGCCTACTCCTCACTCTGCTCATTTCAAAGGGGCGGGGGGGGTAAAAGGGCAGCAGATGGCAGTTTCGTTTCCCGGCTTTCCCGGCAGACATTTGCGAGCAGCTAGTGGGCAGGAGCCCGGGAGCCCGGGACAGCCGCAGGGAGGCCCCACGGGGCTGGCCCAGGGGCTGGGATCCACGCCTCCACGGCTCCCACGTACCAGGGCTTGCCGGATACAGGCCCCCAAGACAGGGCTGCGCCCGCAGCATTGTAAATCTGATCTGTTTTCCACCGGCATCCTCCAATTTCTTTCTGGAGCCCTCATTTAATATGAAAGTAAGGTTATAATATCTATTTTATAACTGATTTTCTCACCAAAGAAGGACGTCAAACTGTAATGGCCATCCCATGCTCATGACGCCTCTGGTCCCGTGGTGACGTCAGACTGGCCCTGTCCTTTTCTCTCCCCTCCCCTCCCTGCCTCATACCCTGAAGCTCTCCCTCTCCCGGTGCCCTTTCCCTTGGTGTCCCTCCTCCCTGCCCCCAATCTCTTCTCCACCTTGAATTCATGGCACCCTTTTGCTTCCCTTCACATCAAACTTCCTGAAAAAGTATTCCACACTCTTGGCCTTTCTTTCTCCCACTTATTCCTTACCCCTAGGGCAACCATTTTCCACCCTGAGGAAACACTCGCTCTCAAAGATGGCTGCGCCTCAAAGGGCTTTAGCCCTGAGTCTCATCTCTTTCTGTGTTTAGAGCTAGCTGCTATTTCCTGAGCCCCCTCTGCACCTCACTCCTGTGTTTCTTCCGCACGGCTCCAGCTTCTCTTGGTGCTCTCCCCCTCATCCTTCCTTCTGTCTCTGGATATCTGCGCTGACTTTCCTACCACCCACTTGGTGACCTCACTGATGCCCATGGCTTCAATTATCAGCTCAACAGTGAAGATTCCCAGCTCTGTAGCTCTAACCTAAACCCTCTCCTCAGCTCTAGATCAACCGGTCAGTAGTCTGAAGACACTTGGATCGCCTTCAGTCACCTCAATTACCCAGGACTGAAACCAGAACTTGCGTCTTCTCTGGGACTCCCTGCTGCCTAACCGCCAGTCCCTGGGATGCAGCCTGACTGCTCCCAAAGGAGTATAGGCTTCAGGTCAGACAGCTCGCCATTTACATTACATGCTCTGTGATCTTGGGCAAGTAGCTTCACCCCTGTAAACCTCATTTCTCCTATCTGTAAAATGGGGGTAATAACGGCAGCTACTTCACTGAGTTAGATGCATGAAATGATGCAGGTAAAGTGCTTACCATGCTGTCAGCCCATAGCAAGTGCTTGATATATATTAGCCACCAAGAACTGGAAAAATAAATGGCTCTTAAATTTGTGTTCAGGGGCTCCCGGGTGGCTCAGTCAGTTAAGCGTCTACCTTCGGCTCAGGTCATGATCCCAGGGTCCTGGGATCCAGCCCTGCATCGGGATTCCTGCTCAGCGGGGCGTCTATTTCTCCGTCTCTCTATTCCCTCCCCACCCGCGCTCATGTTCTCTCTTGCGTGTGCTCTCTCTTTCTCAAATAAATAAATTTTAAAAAAATCTTAAAAAAAAAAAAAAAGCAGTGGATTTAAAAAAAACAAAACAGAAAATTTGTGTTCAGTTACTCAAGCCAGGAGCTGGGAGTCATCCTCAACTCTTCTCATTTTTCCTTGAACTCTACCCAAAAAGTCACTGAGAATGGTCAGTTCTATCTGCCAAGGCCTTCATTCATGCCCTGACCATCCCTCGCCCGGACTACAGCACAGAGGCCCCACTGGTATCTTGCAGACCCCAGTGCCATCCCCGCTCCGCTTGGGTGCTTCCCGAACTGTCACACTTCTGAATGCATGGGGGTAGATCAGGTTGAAGTGAGGGTTCAGAAAGGACCCGGGTGTGGAGGGGCTGAGAATCTGCATTTCCAGAAAGTGCTGGGATCCCAAGACTGCTGGTCCAGACCCCACTTTGGTTAGCAAAGCTCCATTCTTCCTCTAATTCTCTTTCTAAAAAGACAGATGTGATCATAACAATCCCCTGCCCAGGAATCTTTGATGAACTTCACAATGTTACCTAAACTGCCCTTCTGTCTCACACAGCATATGGCCTCGCCACACACAAGCTTTCAAAATGCCATGCATTTCCATCACTTTGCACCTTCGCTCATGCTGCTTCCTCCGTGGGGAATGCCTCTCTTTATCTTCCCTGCCTCTTGGAAGCCCATCCCTTTTCCCAAGACTCCGCATAAGTGTCACCTCCTCTAGGAAGCCTTCCTCCACCTTCATGGAAAACTTACTCAATGCTTTCTGCTGTGTCTCTTCCTCTCTTTGTTTACACCACTATAATCACATGTATCCCATCTCATTATAGTTACTGTCTACTTGGCTGTCCTCCTAGTTAAATTTTAAGCCAGTTGTCTAATCTGTCTTTGTGTCCCAAGAACTTGACACCGAGTAGACAGTGCGATAGGAGTGCAACAGAAGGAGGGAGGTGGGTGCAGGGGGAAGTTGGAACTTAAGTCCCTCCGAGCTCCTGCCTGCCAGGACGGCGCTCCTGATTAACACACCATCGCCCCCTGGTGGCAGTGTACCAAAATTGCTGGTCCAATGTCTTTGGAAGGGTCATAGGTACTTCTTTTAAAGGACAGATCAGCATCACCACCCTGGAAATTAAGATCCCCAAAGCTGCCGCCAGCCATCATCGGCGTCTTCTCAGTCCTCGGTACCCCTCTCAGTACAGGTTTCTACATACACAAGGTAAGCCATGCACACGTATTTCAAGCCAGCAATAAAGTGAAGGCAGCCTACCCTCTGGTTTTTCTCCCACTGCTGTGAGTTCAGACTCCTGGCTCGGCTCACTGGTTCCATACACGTTGATGGCACGCACACGGAATTTATACTCTCGGTCAGGCAGCAGGTCCTGGACGTTAAAAGAGGTGCTGCGGCATGTGGCTAGTTCCTTCCACGTTTTGTCCACCGAGTCCCAGATCTCGACGCTGTAGGACTGCACGGCACTGCCCCCATCATATGAGGAGCCATACCAGGACAGGGTCAACGAGGAGCTCCGGATGTCAGAGGCACAAGGCGTGCCGGCTGGGGGGTCTGGCTTGTCTGGGGACAGAGAAGCACAACATCACCCACGTCTTCAGAATTGCAGGGAAAGAACCTTTCTAGATTAGCCTTGTCTTGGAGGAGAAGCCCAGAGAACCCGAGCGACAGCCCTGGTCCTGGCTCTCCTCTCCTCACCTACACCGTCACACCTATGCTCAAATACACCTATGCAGAAAGCCCCACAAATACCTATCTGCTCAAAAAAAAAAAAAAAAAACCCTCTTTTTTTGGCTAGTTTTCCAGCCTACAAGTCATGATTTCCTGTACTTTGTCTCAGTCCTAAACATATTTCTCTGAGTAAACAGATCTAGGAAGCTGCCCAGAAGGCGTGGACTGCTTCCCATCAAAAATATGTTTTGAGAGAGAATTTACTGTGTGCGTGTGTGTCTGTCAGGCCCTAGGCCAGTGGCCTGTGACATAACGAGGGTCAGTCTCCACTTTCTCTGGGACTTGGGGAACGCCTGCCCTGAGGAGAGGCGGAATAGCACAGTGAGCTCTGAAGTCAGACAGGTCTGGGTTTGAACACGGGTCTGTCTCCCTTCACTACTTGTTAACCTCTCTGTGCCTCAGTTTCCTTGTCTGTAAGCAATGTGGCTAACACTAGCAATCGGATCACAAGGCTGTTGTGAGAAGTTCCTAGAAAAGTGGCTGGTGTGCTGAATTCTGGTATCTGTAGCTAAATCAACCACCTTTAAAAACAAAATCTGAAAAACAGGAGAATTTTGTTCAGAGGAGCAACCGACAAAATCAGCAAAACCTGATCGCATTACTATCATTATTGTAGGAGTTTATTTCTCACTTTATAATATGTAAAACATTACTTCTACCCTACCTCCTTTATCCCCATAGGACCAGGATAAAATGAGAAAGAATTTCAAAAGCAAATGCAGCAGCAAATCACAACCATCCCCGACTAAGGGCTGGAAAATGAGCAGAGGACACAACCGAGAAGCAGCCCCTTTGGCTGGCTGCCTTCCTCGTCAGACCAGTAACGCTGCCAGCTTCAAGGCAACTCACACTAGCCTAGACTTTAGTGGGCCGATCGGGTTTTGTTGATTTTGTCCGTCGCTCCTCTGAACAAATTCTCCTGTTTTTCAGATTTTGTTTTTAGAGGTGGTTGATTTAGCTACAGATACCAGTATTCAGTAACCTCCATCTCGCACCTCCCCCCCCAAGGCAGTCTGAGGTGTAGAGTTCCCCAAACTAGCAATTAAAACCATGCTTTTCATACTATGTCATTTTATAAGCTATGTGACCTCGAGCGAATTCCTTAACTTCCAAGATTTCCAAACTTCTAGTTCATCTTTTTTATTGGGACAATGGTGCTAAAATGCATCTACCTTGTAGGGGTTTTGTAAGCACCCAAGGAAGCAAACCCAGGTGAAGTACTTGACTCCCACTCTCTCTCCCTTCGGCAAGGCCAGAAAGCCAAAGAGAATTCTTGCAGATGACTTTGTGCAAACAGGGGAGGAATAAAACATTCCGTTGGCTTGTGTACGTGTGTACCCACACTCACACACACACGTGCACACACACATATTTGTTCTCACCCCTCCCCCAGGCCCCGTGGCTTCTCCCTCCCGGCTGAGGACGCCTTGCCCGGAGACCGCCCGCCCGTCCCCACGCAAGCCCAGCCTGGGCCTCGCGTGGAGTGTTTCTGGGATTGTGACAGAGCTACTTTTCACCATTGGCAGTCACTCTGGAGGCTTCCTGGGATGGAACCACTTTCGCTGGTTGTTTAAAGTGTTCTCTTAGAAAAACTATTTGTTCTGAAAGATGTATTGGTCTTTTTAGAAATATTTCTGGTGTTGGCTAAGATGTTTATTACTCTCAACTCTCGTGGAGGCAAGTGCTTCAAGTCCTCTCAACACCCGGCTAAGGAAGTTAAAAAAGCCCAAAGAGGGATGGAAGACAGACTCACTGCTCCCCCCAGGAAAACTGCCTGGGAAGTGTCTCGTTGGACACGTTTAGAGTCATGTAGGTTTATAAGACAAACGCACATACACTCCACAGACCGATTTTTCTCCCCTCTGTGTCGGTGAAGCTAACGTTGAGAAATGGGTATTGCAAAAGAGGTGCTATTTGTACCCTACCCTGTCCCAGATGTCTCTTGGCTGGAAAGGGTCAGAAAGACTGACGTATGATATATGTTACCCCCTGCAGCACAAGAGAAGATGCAAAATTTGGGGAGGGGGACTTCATAATTCCTAGCGAAGCTTCAGTGCTTTCAAGGAATTTGATTCCAAATTGAGGAGTTCAGACAAGGTTCAAGTCTAAGTCTAGGGGCTTGGAAGTGCCCACCCCCAGGCCTGCCCTTAGGGTAGGTCTACTCTTCCACTGACAAGAGCCTCACACAGAGGCTGTGCCAGCCAGGGATGGAAACCCTTGGAACAGAACAAACATCCTCAGAACAGGGGGCCTGTGAGCCTCCCCTCCACACTAAGGACACAGAGGCACTTGGGCTGGGATGGGGATCCTGGGCATGGCCCGGTGAAGGCAAAGCAGACTCAGTGTCTAGAACCCTAAGCTCCATGCTGCCTTGGAATTCTCCCATGGCTCCCTGGAGACTTGACTATCACAATGGGAAGCGCTGAGTCTAAGGGAAAAATCTCTGAGGGCACCAGCCCCAGGATTTTCTGTTCAGTTCCGGGAAAATGGAAGTTCTCCTCTCTACCACCTCTCACTGGAGGTCTCATGTACCTGTGTGTCGTATCTGTGGCCCACCTGGACCTCCCTTCACTGCGCCTCAACACCAAGGAAAACTGGAAGCCAGTGCTTGCTATCTAAGCTCAGGGCAGCTTTTAGAGAAGGGCAGCGGGTGTGAGACGGCCCCACCCCCACCCCAGGGTCATCTGCCTGGATGATCCTGGCCCTTGAAAGCTAAGGCACTTTGCTTGCTAAGAATACCCAGCTAGCCAGTGGCAGAGCCAAAAGGAGACTCCAAAACATCTCCAGAGCCTTGTTCCAGGGGCCTGCTTTTTTACAGGCTATCAGGCAGAATAAGATCAAGAAGCATCTTGCTTAAACGCATGCCAAGCATCACAAAGGGAAATCTCCTGCCTTTAAAAATCCTGCGAAAGTTCCAAGCTCAGATAGTAGCTGGTGATTACTGGGTATTTGGAGATTCTCTCCACTTTGTTTTTCTCCTTTAAGGCTATGCAAAGTGACCTGTTTTTCTCCTGCTGGACAAGTTACTGGAAGGAATGCATCTGGGTTAGCTGCTCTCTGGGGCCCCTCCCCGCGCCCCCCCCCCGCCCCCTGCAGAGCGGGAATGGCTGGTGTCAGCTGAGGCTCTCAGAACATCAGACTCCTGTGCTGCCTTTTAAACTGTAAGCCTTTAAAAGAGTTAAACATTGCTCATTCAAACTAACCCAGGGAAAGGCTACTTTTTATTACCATTTTAAAAATAGGAGTCATAACTTCTGAAACAAATAATGCAATATATGTTAAGAAAAAAAAAGAAGAAGAAGAAGATAGCAGGAGGGGAAGAATGAAGGGGAGTAAGTCAGAGGGGGAGACGTACCATTAGAGACGATGGACTCTGAAAAACAAACTGAGGGTTCTAGAGGGGAGGGGGGAGGGGGGATGGGTTAGCCTGGTGATGGGTATTAAAGAGGGCACATTCTGCGTGGAGCACTGGGTGTTATGCACAAACAATGAATCATGGAACACTACATCAAGAACTAATGATGTAATGTATGGTGATTAACATAACAATAAAAAATTATTAAAAAAAAAAGGAAACATCCTGTATAGTTTGGGGATATATATGTAGTGAAAATTTAAAATCATGGATATAAAGGGTAGTCACCAGTTTTGAGATGTTTACCTCTACTGCCAAGGGGAGAATTCCAATAATTTCCATTGTTATTTCCTTAAAAATATGTTCGAAGAAAATGTGCCAAAATGATAAAGTGTTAAATCAGAAAAAAAAAAATAGGAGTCATAGCCTAGATGAAAAGAAACTGGTACTTGAAAGGACAGACAAGAAGAGAGGTTTACTGCTAACCGGCAGAAGTTGTGTTAAGTCAGCCTTATTTAGCCAGCCTGCCAACGGATGCTTCCAAAGTGCTTGAAAACTGCCTGGAGAAGCCCAAACAATTCCAGTCTCATCCCGTTTGTATTTGACATCTCCTTAATAAGCCCTGATCAGATCATGCACAGATGCCCCCTAGAGACACGCAGGTAAATCTGGGCCTAATCCAGGTTTACTCTGGACTAATGCTAAATCCATGGGCTCTGAATGAATGTGGCTTTGCCGGATCCATCAATGCGAGTCCTCCTTTTATTGAGCAATTCTATTCTTAGTTCTATGAGGGGGAGGCAGACAGAAAGCCCGTTCCCCTCCATTCCATTCCCCTCCCAGGACGGCATTTAACATGCTGCTCCTGCCAGCTGGCGGGCAGCCACGCCAATGGCCCTGTCAGCACTGGCTGAGGAGAATGAGAAACGAAACCATAAAAGGCCAGAACTGCAGCCCCGCGGTGGTGCTGGGGGAGGGGAGCTGGTGGCACGGTTGAGCCAGCCAGAGTGGGGGTGGGGGCACTGGTGGCAGAAAAGCAGTTCAAAGGAGGTGACCCCCAGGTTCCCCAAGCTGGGGCAGATAAGAGAACACCAAGGAAAACTGGAAGCCAATGCTTGTTGACGGCGGGGGGGGGGGGGGGGGGGGGCGGTGCGCGTAGGGCCAAATCAATAGTTCAGGTACACGTCTAAATGTGTAGGCAAACTGGGTCACTAGCGTCAATCCCCCAAGCCCCCAAATGTTATTGACTCCTCGGGGAAAATTACTGAAATGAACATCCGGAGTCAGCAAAGAGAGAAAGAGTGAGAAAAATTTGTCTCCTGTCTTTTTATAGATGAGAAATCTGTTCCCTGACCTGTTAGCACACTGGCCTTCCCAGATTTAAAACTCCTGATCTAAAGCAGAAAAAGAAAGGCGATCAGATCAGTAACCATCAGGCCAAAGGCCTTCACACACACAACCTCTGACGGCCCACAGATGCGCAGAGACACGGCCTGCTATCCATCTGCCCACTCCTTCCTCTGCTGTTCCTTTGCTGCCCTGAGCACCTGCCATGTCTGGGCTCAAGGAGCTGAGCACAACCCACAGTGTGGGACCAGTTAGCAAGGTATTTTGACAGTTCAGGAGAGAGTCCACCAGGGCATGAAAAACAGTGACTGGGATGGAGAGGAAAAAGTGAACTTGAAAATCAGTCTGGAGAGAGACTCAACTCCATATTGCAGGAGGTGATAAAAAGGAGTGGGTGTAGGACTGGGAGGTCACGGTGACCTCAGAAGGGTGGTCCCAACAGACTCATGGGGATGGGAGGGAGGCCACAGGGAGGCGAGGAAGCAGAATCCAAGTGGAGACTGGCCACCTTCAGGGGGCTACGGCCAGGAAGACGGCAAGAGATGGTTGGGCGGCCAGAGCAAGACAGGCTATTGCAGGCGTACACGCTCCTGTGTGTTTGGCGGGGATGAGAGAGCCCTGGCAACATTTACGGGAGAAGTAGAGAGGTGAAGACGAGAGAGGGGGGCACAGATATGCAGACACCTGTAGGTGCGGGGCACGAAGGGGTACAGGTTCATGCCTGCCACCTCCTATTTCTCAGGGAAGCCACTGAGCCGACTGACGCCTCCACCTGGACACCAGCAGAGCCCAGCACTGAGTCTGCGGGTCGTGATCTTCTGCCCGTGGTGGCCCCAGAACCAGGCGCAGGAGCAGGGCAGTGGAAGGCAGCACTAGTTAAAGGCGAGGATTGGCAAGGGGACTGAGTAGCAGGGGAGAGGGAAGGGAGTGGACCCCAGGGACAGGGAGCGAAGGTGCCGGAAGAATGGGTCTGGAGTAGTGCAGCTCAGGGTTTCCAAAGGCTAGAAAGAGAGAAGCCAGGAGCGGATTCATAGGAACAGGAAAACGCTGTGGGGTGGGCGGCAGGGTCTGGGCTTCTCCAGAAGCATGAAGCCCTGCCAGAGAGAGGGGGCAGGGAGAGGGAACACGGGAGCGTGCCAGGCGGTGGGCAGGGTGCCAAAGGAGTAGGCCCCAGGGAGATGAAGCCCTGAGGCCCCCCATCCTGCTGGGGGCCTCTGCCTTCCCTGTCCTCTGACCCCCAGGCCACCCCGTCCCCAGACTCACCCACGACAGTGAGGTTGACCTGGGCCTGCCTGCTGCCCAGCTTGTTCTCCACCAGCAGAGTGTAGCAGCCACAGTGTTCCTGGCATGCGGCCAGGATGGTGAGCCTGCTGCCATTCTCGCTGTTCTCCACCTTGATGTGCTCGCTCTCCTGGATCTGGGGGCAGAGAGTGGGGCAGGGGCTGGAGACTTGGGCCAGGAAAGGAGGAGGGCTCCGACCCCCACTCCCCACCCTTAGGGAATGCTGTTGGACAAGCGGTATGGGGCTCCGTCTTGTCTGGACTCTGGGCTTCCCCTTAAGGCCCCTCCTCTCCTGCGTCCAAAGCCAAGCCTCCCTGAGGTGGTCCAGATCTGGGGCGAGCAGGGAGGGTGCTGAGCAGGGCCTGGCAGATGAGCTCTGTCTGCACTTGCTGCCCCAGACCAGAGCTGAGGAGGGTCCCATATCTCAGAGACGTCTGAGCAGAGCCCCCTACAAAGACCACCCCAGTGTGTTCTGACCTCTTCTGTGCTAATACTGGTGCCGCTAGCCACATGTGGCTACTTAAATCATAATTAACTAAGTGAAATAGACCAAATGTCCATCAACTGATGAACGGATAAACAAACTGTGGCATATCCAGACAATAGAATATTATTCGACCATAAAAAGGGATGAAGTACTGATTTACACTACCACAAGAATACATACTATATGGTTCCATTTATATGAACTGCCCCAAATAGGCAAATCCAAAGAGACAGAAAGTAAGTTAGTGGTTGCCAGGGCCTGGGGAAAAGGGAGGAATGGCTGCTAATGGGTCCACGGTTTCTTTTTGGGGTGATGGAAATGTTCCAGAATTAGATCATTGTTATGGTTACACAACTGGTGAATATATTGAAAACCACTGAATTGTACACTTTAAAAGGTCAAATTTTATGGTGTCTGAATGTTACAATGTATATAACAAAGCTGTTATAATGATTTTTATTAATTACAATTTAATTGATTGTACTAGTCACACTTCAAGTGCTCAGTAGCCACATATGGTGGTGGCTACCATATTGGATAATGGATACAGAACATATCCATCACCAGAGAAAGTTCTTTTGTTCCCAAAGGGGATCTGGCCAAATGTCTCTGAAAAGGGAGAGATTACATCTTCCTTCAGACACTACAAGGCCAGACAGAGCACAGAGCAAGCATCTTTGGGACGATAAGGCAGGCTTCTCAGCTTCATCTTTTGAGACCAGTCCTCCATTCCTCCCCGGTACTAGCCTCCCATCTCTGGGCCTTAGGACAATTTGAATGGTTTAGAAACAGAACAGCAGAGAACTCAGAAGAAATCTTCACATCCTCTGCAAAGTTCCTGATTCAGTGCCAGCCACCATTTGGGACCTTTGTCGATCACATGTAAGAGGCACACGCTACCAATATGGGCTCAATGGAACGGGTGGGCTCCCCATGTCCCTTTAAGCTGGTTGTTCAGAAATTCAGACATTTCAAAAAAAAAAAAGAAAAGAAATTCAGACATATCTTTCATAGGATCATTATTAGAAATGGTATATTTCTGGGCCAGTAAGCCAAGGTTCTATTTAATGTACAATTTATCTCTCCAAATACTCGGATTCACTTTTATCCCTTCAGCACGTGGTAAGTTGAAGTTGTTACCACAGATAGGGCTCAGTGGGCTAGCCCAGAATCACAGAAGGCTCACAGGGTCTGAGAGGTCCTTTAGGTCACTGGTTCTATTTTCCTGACACAGTAGAATTCTAGACTAAAATATCAAAATCAGGTGGGGGCATGCATGGTTTCCTTTGTTTCCTTCATACTGTTCTCTGTCACACAAATGGTCTGTAAAGCAGGTATTCATGGTAGATTCAGAAGCAAAGGTTATTAACAACTCAGATGTGGGGGGTGGGGACAGGTGGGGGAGGACCCTCCCCTCCCATTTCTAAGGCCCCGCTGATCAAAATGACGCTGCCGCCATGACAGCATTTCTCATCCCCTTCGGCCCAGGGGCTGGGAGGGTCATTCTCGGGCCATTCCCCTCCCTCACTGACCTGCTTTCGGAACTTCATCCAAGTACTGGTGATGGGCTGGGTGCCTGCCACTTTACCAAACAGCTCCACAGACTCTCCTGCGCGCACCTTTTGGTCCTCGGGAAACTGGATGATCTGAGGGGGCATGGCTGGGAGAGGACAAGTGACAAAGTGAGCAATGAGGCAGGAGCCTCGGACAGACTGATCTCACTCAGTGCTGCTGTCCACACTGGTCTGTTCCTCTCTCGCCTTCTAGAGCCTTCAGGGTAACACTGAAGACAGCGGCCACTGCTCCAGAATGTCCAAACTCATGGGCCTGCTAGGTTGGTTCATGTCTTTATTTGGATTCTTCCAAAATGGCCCACACAATTTACATGGCATAATTTTCCATGTGTCAATTGCTCTGGAATTTGCATCTTACCCTAAATTTTTAATCTACCTGCTAACTCTAATTTTTAAGTGATTTTATTTATTTATTTGACAGAGAGAGAGAGCAAGAGAGAGAGAGAGAGCGAGCCAGAGAGCACAAGCAAGGGGAACAGCAGAAGATGTAGGAGAAGCCCAGGGAGCTTGATCCCAGGACCCTGAGATCATGACCTGAGTTGAAGGCAGATGCTTAACCAACTGAGCCACCCAGGTGCCCCCTGCTAACTCCTTTATTAATTAAGCAGCACCTTGCCTTCGAACCGTCAGGTTACCCTGGCTGACAGGTTCAATAGGGTTCATGTCCTCAAATGTCTTTCACTGGGAAACAGACAAGGCTCTATATGACAAGGACATACAGAACAGTGCATTAAGACAGCATAGAGTGGATCACCTCCTTAAATGGCAGCGTGGAGGGCAGAGGGTTAGGCAGAATTTCACAGAAGGGATGGGAAAGTCACGCATACTGTGTGATGCCATATGACATCCCTCTAGCTAGGGACGCTACAGGGAAGCAGGAGAAAATACAAGTAGTGAGAAAGGGTAGGGGACCAGGCTGCACAGAGGCTCTTGGGGAAAGTTTGGTCTGACTAATGCAGAGCTTGAATCAGGGAGGGGCAGTGGTGGTCTCCTGGGACCTTATACCAGTGCTCAGTCTAGCTGGGCAAAGGAAAAACCCCTCATGGCAGATGACTCTTGTCCCCAAATGCTCCTGGTGGCCAATTACCTGCCTTCGGAGGTGTCTTGGGGGCGGGTTTCTTTTTCACAGTTGCATCACCTGAAAAAGAGACATTCACAGGTTATTTTCTGTCAATCTGGCTTTTCACAAAGCTCCTGAGTCCTAGGAGCCTTGCTCACTGCCCCTGCCCCAGGTAGAGCCCTCACTTGAATGTGTTTTTCAGGAGATCTTGCAATCCCGCATAGACAACCTCACAACTGAATGAATATCAGTTCTCGGGGTGGGGGGCCCTCTGTAAGGGTTTCTGGAGCCTCCATTGAGATAAAAACTCAAAAATGCTGAGTCTCCGTTGTCCATTTCAACGATGATAACTCCACACTCAGTAACTATTCTCTCACCCAAACTTCAGGAAACTCAGAAAGGAAATTATGTCAGACAAATCATCTAAAATTAGCCTTTGGTGTGGATCCAAGGGTCTCAGGCTTCCTTTGGGTCACAGACTGTGGACTAGTGGCTTTCACTTTTTTAGTGTTTGCTGAATGGATCGATGAATGAATGAATAAATGAATGAACCCACCAGACAGTCTCTTCCATTCCTACTCCATTCCTTCCACTTTCTCCAAGTAACTCAAATAAGAAAAATGACCCACACAGACCAATTTCACAGCACAAACCTATTCATTTGGCTAAATAACAATATGATGAATACCAAAAATATCCTCAGTGATTTTCATGGCTTGTTTTCATCTTTCTTGCAGGTCTTTAATCAAAACCTATTTATCCAGGTGGAATGAGAATCTATGCACACACAAATATCTGTATGTGAATGGTTATAGTGGCTGTATTTGTGATTGCCAAAAGCTAGAATTTATCCAATTGTCCCCCAACTGGAGCATGGATGAACTTATGGTATAGTTATACAATGAAATACTACTTATCAAGAAAAAGGAACAAACTACTGATACACAGAACATACGATGAATCTCAATGATTCATCTTTCTCTAAGAGAGGCCAGACTCAAAAGGCTACAAACTGTATAATTCTATTTATATGCCTCATTCTGGAAAAGGCAAAACTATAGGGGCAATGAGCAGATTAGCGGGGGATGGGGACAGGGGTTGACCGTTAAGGGGCACAAAGACATGTTTTAAGATGGGGGAACCATATTTTGATTATGGCACTAATTATGTGACTATATGCAGTTGTCAAGATTCACAGAACTGTGTCCTAGAAAGGGTGAACTTTACTGTATATAAGTTATACCTTAATACAAAAAAATGGGAGTCACTTAACCAAGGAGATCTTCCCTAACCACTCTATATTAAATAGCAACCCCCTGCCCCCAGCACTTCTTATCTCCCTTACCCCACTTTATTTTCCTCCCCATGGCACTTAGCACCATATAAAAATCTATATATTTACTTGTTTATTTACTGTCTGCCCTTCCCCTATGTCTAAAGTAAAAGGTTTTCGAGGGCAGGGACCTTTTCTTTTTTGCTCACTGCTGTATACTCAGTGTGCCTGGGACAGAGGAGGCACTTGGTAACTATTTATTGAAGGAATGAGCAGTGGTAATGTTAGCAATTATTCACCCACAAAGCTTCACCTCTGCAGATTATGGAGAAGAAGCCCTGTGTCCTGGTTGGACATTGCTGTGTGCCCACGGGCAAGTCAGCTGACTTTGTGGATTATCAGCTGTGCATCTGTAAAACAGAGAGTGTGGCTACCCACCTGAGAGCCACGCAAGGACTTTCTGAGATCACAGAGCTGATGACTACCAGGCATGTGGTCAAGCCCAGGGTGAGGCCTGCTTCCACCAAATGCACCCTAGCTTCTCAACGTTATCAATCCGCCTGTCCATCTCACCAAAACTTACTGAGGCCCTGCTGTGTGTCAGGCAAATGCCAGTCAGCACACACCCCTAACCTGGGAACTGAGAGGAAAACCACACACGTGTAAGAAATCAGAGCTTGTCCTCAAGAGCCTAAATGGCAAGGCCTGTGGCCCACAGGAAAGGCTTTTTTTTGTTTGTTTCCATTTGTCATAAAGGATATTGATGGGACAACTGGCAAAATTTGCATAAGGTCAATAAATTAGATGATAGTATTGTCTCTGTTAATTTCATGTTTTGATCACCAAACTGTGGTTTTTATGAGACTGTCCTTATTTTTAGGAAATGTACACTGAAGTATTTGAGTGTTGAGGATACCATGTATGCAACTTACTTTCAAACTACTCATAAAAATTATATGTACAAATACGTATATATATGCATATGTGTGTGTAGAGAGGTGGAGGGAAGGAGAAAGGGAAAAAGCGAGGGAGAAAAATACATGATAAAGCAAACATGGTAAAATGCTGATATTTAAGGAATTGGAGCGAAGGGTATATAAGAATTATTTGTACTATTTTTGCAACTTTAAGTCTGAGATTATTTCAAAATAAAAGTTAAATAGAAAGTTTTTTTAAAAGGTTTTATCCAGGGGTGCCTGGGTGACTCAGTCAGTTAAGCATCTATCTGCCTTTTGCTCAGGTCATGATCCCGGGGTCCTGGGATTGAGCCTGCATCAGGCTCCCTGCTCAGTGGGGAGCCTGCTTCTCCCTCTCCCTCTGCCTGCCATTCCCCGTGCTTGTGCTCTCTCTCTCTCTCTCTCTCTGTCAAGTAAATAAATAAAATCTTAAAATAAAAATAAAAATAAAAAATAAAAGGTTTTATCCAGGGGGCACCTGGATAATCCTTAGAGATAATCCTTAGAGCATGAGACTCTTGATCTCGGGTGGTAAATTCAAGCCCTACGCTGGGTGTAGAGCCTACCTTAAAAAAAAAAAAAAAAGAAAAGAAAAAGAAAGTTTTATCCAGACAACACGATGCGGTCATTCAAATGAAGGAGAAAGAGGCTGCACTGTGGGCTGAGAGGATGACTAGGCAGGGATCGATGGTGGGACACAGGACGGAACTCAAGGCTACAGAACACCTGAACTGGAGACAGAAGGGCCCCATGGTTCAGGAACAGAGAGTGGCTTAAGTTGAGGATCACGGTGATGTTTGGTGGAGGCTGTCCAGAGTGTGGGGCTGGGATTAGAGAACAGTGGTATGAAGGCAGTGTGACAATTTAAATGAAGGAAAATAAAAAATTCAGTTCCTCGGTCATAGTAGTCAGGTTTCAAGTGCTCGATAGCCACATGTGGCTTGTGGCTACCATACTGCACAGACACAGAACACCGCTGTCCTCACAGTGCTGGTCTAGCATCCCAAGTCTGAGAGTTAGGTCTTTGTCCAGAGTGAACAGGGAGTCCTCATGCAAACAGCAGTCCAGCTGGGCTTGAGGACTCCTGGAGGTCTCCCCACCTCCTGGGGACAAGGCTATCCAATTCAGAGGCTACTGCCATCCTTTGGGAAAGAAGTGATCAAGGTCCAACCTTGGTAAAGGCAGCAGAAAAGAAAATACAAATAAGAGACAGAAGAAAAGTTAAAACAATTAGGGGCTGAAGGGAGGTACAAAGATTCCTTAGAGATTTCTGGCTTGGATAAATGGGGAAAATCCTAGTGACAGAACACAGAACTTGGGAGTGAAAGAGGAGACATTTGGCTTGGTCCAAGTGAATGTGGTAGATGAAAGAATTAAACCCACTTGTAGGCTAGAAGCCCCGGATCAGAATTCTAGAGGGAGGTTGGTGGAGATTGGAAGCGAAAGTCTCCAGAATCAAACACGCAATCATAATGGAAACTGTGAGGATGGGTCAGTTCTTTGGGGGAAAGAATGCAGTGAAAGATGGGAAGGGGCCAGTGTCTGATCCCAGGCGATGCCCACGGTGAGGAGCTGGGACGAAGGAGAGGGCTGTGGACCTCAGCAGATGGAAGGAGGACTGTTCCTGCAAGCAAGGGTGGAGGAGAATGGGCCCCGGGGAAGTGGGCGTCAGGTATGACCAGTGCTGAGTGACGGGGTAAGGTGTGAGAGGGCAGGTTCCATGAGACGGTGTGGTCAGAAGTCACTTCAGAGGAGATTCTCAAGGAAACAGGTAGGGAGTCAACTAACCTGACATGAGTTCTGGAGTTGAAGGGACAAGGAGAAACAGGGTGACAGAAGAAGAAATGTCAAGCAAGGTTTCTTCCCAGGTGAGAGAGGAGTACAGGTTTGAAAGCAGAAGGCTGGGGCTCTGGAGAGGGAGAGCCCCAAGATGGAAGAGCATGGGAAAGCCCTTAGAAGCGGGTATCAGATGGGTTCTGGAACAGCCACGAGAGGCTGAGCCCCGAAGCCCCTCCCTTCTTCGTCAAGGGCTGCTGGGAAGGGACAGGCCCTCCAGGGACGCTGAAGGGCTGCTACCACAGCCAGGATCTGACCTCCCATGGACAGCGAAAGCCATCTGTTCAGAGGAGCTGTGTGGGGTTGCTGTTACGGGCTGAGCTGCATCCCCCCACAATTTTTATGTTGAAACTCCAGCCTCCCAGTACCTCAGAATATGACCATATTTGGAGATATGGGCTTTAAAGAGGTAATTACGTTATGGTGAAGCCATGGGGCAGGGGTCCTAATCCAAACAGACCAGTGTCCTTAAGAGAAAATTTGGACACACAGAGACACCAGGGTACATGCACAGAGAAAAGGCCACATGAGGACACAGTGATAAAGCGCCCATCTGCAAGGCAAGGAGAGAGGCCTCAGAAGCAACCAAATGTGCCAATACGCTGCACTTGGACTTCAGCCCCCAGAACCGTGAGACAATACACTTCGGTTGTGCAAGGCCCCGGTCTGTGGTATTTTGCTGTGGCAGCCGTAGGGATGAATGCAGCTGTGGACGGGCTCTGGAGGCTGGGAAGGAGCGCGACAGGCCTGGAACGGAGGGCCAAGAGTGAACAAGGAGGACAATGGCAGCGCACCATGAAATCACATGACCCCAAAGTCCCACTCTACGCTCTTCTTGGCAGCCCCGGTAAACCTACGTGGCTAGAAGTAGAGCCTGAACTAGTCTCTATCTTCCTGTGTCACCATTAAGTGGATCGAGGGCCAAAGTTTTATGTTTGTTCTATACATTAGCACCTTCTGCTGTTTGCATTGGTTAGCATTTGAAGCTGGTTTGGTTCCTATTAGTAAAGACA